CAGCCGCTTCCTCCACGACTACCCCTCAGTGTCAGCACTCAGTGAGTCCACACACTCATCCAGCATCAGCATCCGTCCTCGGAGACACTTTGAGGACGTGACAGCAGCTGTGGAAGAGCTCAGAGATGGACTCCAGGACGTTCTGAGGGACGCATGGACAAACATCTCACTGGCCATCACTGACGAGGATGTTCTACTGTCAGAACCAGAACCAGAACCAGAACCAGAACCAACGACCAGAGCTGGGTTCTTAAAATATTCACGAGAAATCACTCTGGATCCAAACACAGCACACAGACGTCTGTTATTATGTGATGGGAACAGAAAAGTAAAATGTATGTATCAAAAACAGCCTTATCCTGATCATCCAGACAGATTCACTGACTGGGTTCAGGTTCTGAGTAACGAGAGTCTGACTGGACGTTGTTACTGGGAGGTGGAGAGGAGAGGAGGAGGAGGAGTTTATGTAGCAGTTTCATACAAGAACATCAGCAGAACAGGGGGTTCATATGAATGTGGATTTGGATTCAATGACAAATCCTGGGCTTTATATTGTTCCATCAACAGATGTGTATTTCGGCACAACAAAACTCAAACTCCCGTCTCAGGTGTTCCTTCCTCCAGAGTAGGAGTTTACCTGGATCACAGAGCAGGTGTTCTGTCCTTCTACAGCGTCTCTGACACCATGACTCTCCTCCACAGAGTCCAGACCTCGTTCACTCAGCCGCTACATGCTGGAGTTTACATTTATCCTGGATCCAGTTTGGAGTTCATTAAAGCTGAATAGACTGAAGTGTTTAACGAGCAGCTGGTTCAGATGTTTGAGTTTCCAGCTGGTTCAGTCTCATTGTACTCTGTAGAACACCACGGCTTGTTCTAACTGTTGTTCTACAGATTTATGTTCCTGATAAGATCTACTGAGAGCTCAGAAAGAACGTTTTCATTCACATGTTCACTGTAGAAAACAAACTGTGAATAACATCAACAGTCGTTTGTTCTTTTATTGGTTTGACTGCATTTAAAAACAAATCATGAATAGTTTTGCTGATATTTGATGTTATTTGAAAGAAACGTTGTGAACATTAAGGATTGATTGTTGAACAGGTTTCAGTAAAATCACAGGAAACAGGAATAATTCATGTATAATCCAGAACAAACAGTAAATAATGTGGAATCAGATGATTTTATGTGAACAGATGGTTTTGTTTTGTTGTTCTTTTCATCTCGTTGTGTTTCATGTGTGTTGGTCTCTACACTGTAAAACACACTTTAATTTGTTTTATTGTGTTTTAAACTGGAACAATTTACTGTTGTTTTATAGATCCAAAGTCCTGATAATATCGAGTTCAACAACAGAAAAACTGCTTTTACAAAAATAATGTTGCTAAAATCTGGCTGTTAAATTACTCCATGTTTTATTACGACCTTTAAATCAGAAACACAGAATTATTTGCTGTTAATTGAAAGAAAGATTTCGTACTTTAAGGATTGAAAAATGACAAATAAGGTGTGAAACAGGTGTTTAATGTTTTGTTTGTTGACTGTGACGGTTCGTCTGAGACTCGTCTGTGATTGGTCGGTTTGCTGAGATGATGTCATGTTCAAAGATGATTCTTGTTTTCGTCTCGTTGGATTTCCATTCATGTGTCTCTACACTGTAAAAAATAAAATAAATGAATAAATATTGTGTTCTGTAGATGGAGGAGATGAAGGAGACTAGTGAGGGAGGCCACCAAGACTCCTGTGACTCCTCTGAAGGAGGAGTTCTGGTAGAAACCGACACCAGATCAGTTTTGGTCAGAACCAGTTCTAGCAGATCAAAGGTCTCGTTGTTTCCCTACATCTTGATAAGAGGCTCTTCGCGCTATGATTCCTTTTCTCTGGTTTACAGTCACTTTGTACGAGTTTGGGGACATTTTGGACGTTGTAATGAGATGCAGGAGCTCAGAGGCGTACATGTCAGCAGCATCATGCTGCCTCACTGAGGTCGTCACCAACCTGTAACTCTGAAAACATTCATAGTATGAAGGTAAAACTTTGCACAGCTTCACTAAATGTACTGAAGCTCCTGTAGATAAAGAACCAGGTGGGATTGACTGATGGACTTCACACTAACACGTCCTGCTGTTTGTCCTCCAGACGTCCTGCCTGGACATTTCCCCGGAGCCATCAACATGCCGTTCACCAGCTTCCTGGATGAAGGTGGGAAGATGCATGGACCTGAGCGTCTGTCGGAGCTGTTCAGAGAGGCAGGCGTGGACCTGAAGCAGCCGCTCTGGGCTACCTGTGGCTCAGGTGTGACGGCCTGTCAGGTGGCTCTGGCTGCTCACCTGCTCGGACACCCCGGGGTTTGCATCTACGACGGGTCCTGGTATGAGTTTTTCAAGAAGGCGTCTCCAGAGTTCATCATCTCCGAGTGGGAGGCCAAGAAGGTCTGAAGCAGCCGGATGATGCTGGAACCACCCAGAAGAGAAATGCTGCTGGATTCTGATTTTTACTGGAGCAGAGGAAACAGAGGTTGTTGGTGGTTGTTATCAAAACGGGCTGCAGAGCTGTGAGACGCTGACGTGTTTCTGAAAGCAACCACAAAAGATGGAAAACAGCAACTGAACAAAGCAGCGAGTTAAACGCCTCAAAGAGCAACAGAGCCGCACAGGACTGGAACCTCACAAGTCACGTGACTCGGATGTGGGCCAATAACAACCAACAGAACACGTAAACATCTCACAGTTTTAAAGCCTGTCACGTAGCGTTGATATGTGTTGAAAGTGCTCCAGATCTGAAACAGTCCAGTGCCTCAAACCTGCATTCTCTGTGGCTGCCAGCAGGGGGCGACTCCTATTCATGTAAACAGAGCCTTATTATGATTAAGCTAAAAACAATCACGTTTAAAGTTCTGAGCACGAGTTTGTACAAGATTTTACTTCACATTGACGAAGAGAACAAGCTGCTGACCTCAGACGGTCAACATGTGCTGCTTCTGCTGCAGCTGTCCTACCTGATGATTATATTTTTGATATGATATTTTATATGATATCGCACACAATTCACATTAATGTCCGACACGGGATGTGATTTTATTCAAATGCTTCAGTATTATTAATAAATTTTGCTTGAAAAAGAGACGATTGTGTTTTTCTTTTGGCTTTTACAATCTAATAAATAACGGTGTGGAGCTCGTGAGCTCAGGATGAGAAAAGATGTCAAAAGAAAATCATGATGCAGGTGAACAAAATTAACTTAATGAAGGGAATACGTTCCGCTAGAACTGAGTTTAAACCATTTCTGTTCTACAACAGAAGTGAGTTACATCCTGTGAAAAATCATTTAAATGTCAAATGACACCAAACTTGTAAATAACTTTGTTGTTTCTACGTCGTCCAGTGTTTCTTCTGATAATCAATCAGAAACGTACCAAAGTGACTCCAGCTGCAGGACGACCGCAGTGAAGAGGAGCAGCATGATGCTCCTGATGCTTCCAGCTGTGAGGCCTTTATTTAGAACTCTAAACTGTTCGTCTTTAATTTGACATCACAGAAAATACTCTACTAGTCAGATTTAAAGTAATGTGATGTGAGGAGGGTAGCTCAGTGGTTAGCATCGTTAGCGCCTCACAGCTAGAAGGTCGCCGGTTGGTGTCCCGGTGAGGACACCCGGGATCTTTCTGCATGGAGTCTCCATGTTCTCCCCGTGCAGCGTGGGTTCTCTCCGGGTTCTCCGGCTTCCTCCCACAGTCCAGAAACATGCTGAGGTTAATTGGTGATTGTAAATTGTCCGTAGGTGTGAATGTGAGTGTGCTTGGTTGTCTGTCTCTAAGTGTAGCCCTGTGATAGACTGGTTACCTGTCCAGGTGAACCTGCCTTCACCCTGAGTCAGCTGGGATAGGCTCCGCCCCCCCATGACCCTGGTGAGGATGAAGGTGTAGATGATGGATGGATGGACTCACACAGGTGTGTTGTGCTGCTAGCTGCTAGTAAACAGTGATATTTGAACTGTAGAGCAGAAGAAGTTTAAAAGTACATTAGAAACACCTCAGAATACACATCAGGACTCAGCAGTCCACCTGCACCTTCAGGACAAGGACACTCATTTGGAGATAATAATGTAGAGATGTTGTCCTGCAGGGAGGACAGATGGTTTGAGAGAGGAGTGAAAGAAGCATCGATGTCCAACTGGAGAGACCATCCCTCAGCAGAGGTGGAGGTCTGAGGCTTCACCTCTCACCTGGTCACAGCTCAGTCCTCAGATCTCTCCCCAGGAACATGAACCACATCCACACCTAGCCACAGAGACCCTAACGAACCCCACTTTGTCAGGGGGAGCACTAACGAGTCACATAACGAGGGGGAGGAGCTACAAACCCCCAAATGAAACCCAAACTCAGGTGTTAATGTCTCCTTCAGGATATCAGTGTGTGGAACTCCCAACTAGTCAGTCAGAGCTGATGGAGCCTCTTGGATGAAGGTGGAACGTCTTCAAGGAACTCAAGCAGGTCCAGTTGCTACCATTAATCTACCAGAAGAACCATCAGGACAGTTCTGGAGTAAACGTGACGCTCAGGTTCGTTTCTAATTTAACAATGAAGAGAAAAGAGAAGTTTCTCTGATTTGTTCCACTTAATAATCATGAAACTGTTACTGATATTTTAGTGAAACCCTAAATGCCGTCAGAAACCCACTCACACAGCTGTGAGACCTGTTGTTCTGTTTGTGAATTTATTCCAGATCTGATCAGTTCATCTGTAACGGTTTTAGATCTGGAGCTGGTCTAAAGTGGTCCACATGGGAAAAAAGCACAGACATCTCAGTTCTTAGATGTTTTTAACAAATAGAAAAACACGTTCACAAAGGGAAGTGTGCTTTACGCAGTGCTAAGGACCTGACTGACATGTCTGTTAACGTGGTTTTAAATCTTCAACATGTGGGAAGACTCAGTTTCATCTACTTGTCAAATTAAACGCACCTGCTTCCGGCCCTGCGGTGTCATGCTTTTATTTTGTAGTTTACAACAGGAAGTCCGTATCGTCGTGTTGAGCGGGACGTCACGCAGGGAGCCAATCACAGGGCTCCTCCCGCGCTGACGGACGTTTCCAGCGTCCACTCCGGGCTCGAGGTTGCCCTAGCAACTCAGCCGGTGGACCAATCAGAGGCCGGCTGCTGTCAGTCCCGCCTCCCCCCTCCTCCCCCCACCGGGAGCCGCCACCGTCCGCCTTCAGTCCGGGAGCAGAACGGAACCGGAGAACCTTCACCTCTGTGCGTAAAAGCGCGGCGCGTCCTGTGCGCGCTGCTGGCACAGAGCGCGCGCTGCTCCGAGCCTTGATGGGTGTCGCGGGTCGGACTCACCTGGACTCAGCCTGATCCAGGTGACCGCTCACCTAACCAGAGGCTCTGCTCTTTATTTCTGCCTGTTCGGAACCGGAGCAGGAGCGGGGTTCGGTTTGATTCACGCCGCCGGATCTCATCTCATGATGGGACGCAGCAGCCGCCGCCTGCCGCCAGGATGAGCCAGAGGAGCCCCGCCAGAGCCTACGACTTTCTGCTCAAGTTCCTGCTGGTGGGCGACAGCGACGTGGGGAAGGGCGAGATCCTGGCGAGCCTGCAGGACGGAGCCTCCGAGTCCCCGTACGGACACAACATGGGTGAGTGGCGGCGGGGGGCAGGAGGGAGTCCGCGGGGGGAGTCCGGGGTCGAACCGGCCGTCTGGGGGCTTCTGGAGGTCGGTCATCCGGTTTTACGCACAGTTTACGCAGCGGGATACCAGTGAGTGTGGAGCCAAACCAGTGAGTCTGGAGCCAAACCAGTGAGTCTGGAGCCAAACCAGTGAGTCTGGAGCCAAACCAGTGAGTCTGGAGCCAAACCAGTGCCAGCCCAGTTAGTGAAGAGACTCTCTGTTGGCACGAGGACCAGTTGGTTCAGAACTGGGAGCACTGGGACACTAAACTGGGAATGTGCGCAGAGTTTCCATTCGGTGCTTCTGCTGCACGTTCTCGAGCTGTTTGTTGGATTTTACACTGAATCACTTTTAAAGGTCATAAAACGGTGTCCGCTGGGTCCGTTTCTCCGGTTCCAGTTCCTCTCTGAGTCACTTTTTCAGAACCAAAGAGGTCAAAAAGTCCGAAGACTTAAAGGAAAGTTCAGAAACTGACGATAGATTTTTAGATCCAAACTAAACCAACTGACTGTGTTCTGGTACTTTTACTGAAGTAGTCTTAAATGCAGGACTTGTAATGGAGTATTTTGGTCCATTTACTTCAGTGTGAGCAGTTTCTTTGTGGAACATTTTAGCTCAGAGCTGCAGGATGAGCTGCTGCACTAAAAATCACCCACATTCACTCACAACCCGGTCCGGCTGCGTGTCGGACCCTCACAGGATCAGTCTGATGGGTTTTTACTGTCAACAGATTCTCTATAAAAGCGTCAGCGAATCAGAATCAGTTCATATTTATTTTATTTATTATTTGGTTTTCACTTATGAGGAATCTGTTGTTTTGGGGTTCAAGTGGAAATTTAAAAGCACAGATTAGAGCAGCGGAGAGCGTTATGAGACGAACAGGAAGCTAGGATCAGAAAAGTGTTTAAAGGAAACAGTTTGTGCCGGTTAGTTTCACCTGAAGATGAACAAACGATGTGCTGCTTCCTCCTGGTGGGAGCCAAACAGTTATAAAAATATACAGAAAGCACTGATGAAGCGAAGCCAGAAGCTACAGACTGCACAAACCGGTCTGAAAGCAAAAAAACCCGATCAGAACGTTCTGAACTTGTTCTTTCTCTGAATGAGACTTGTTTGGTTTTGTAGCTCCGACACTCGACTGATCTGAAGGTTCATCTGTGGAAGAAGCTTTATGTTGGAGCGGTTCGGCTTCTGGAGGGAAACATCTGCAGCTCAGACGTCAGCGAGTTGTTCACTGGCAGAAAACATTCAGACGATAGTGAGAAGTTT